TTAAGAGGTGCTAGCTCTTTATAGCAGTGCCCATTATAGTAATTATAGAAAAGAGAAAGTGAAGTAACATTATGACGGTGTGATAATGGTTGGAGGTTGGCTGCTAGAGCAAGTCCAACTATGTTTACAATTTGTTTTTGCACCTTTCCTAATAGAGAAAGAGCTTTGTTAGAAGACCCACCCAGATACCCAGATATGGCAACAATGTTCCATACAATGACTAATTGGAGAATTGATGAGATAAAGAATAGAATCCTGAGTAAGAAAGTGACAAGCACAATAAAGAGATGCAATTTTGAAAAAAAGCTATGCTAATCTGGCATTCGATTTGATATATGGTTTCCAAGTAAGATCGGTAGTAAGAGTTAATCCTAGAAGATGAAGGGTAAATGACTCATTGAGTGCATTACTGTTTATAAATATAGAGAAGTCTAGATTATTGCAATAACGATTAAGCTGAAAAAAATATATCAGTTAATTGTTATTGCAATAATCTGAGCTAAAGTTCACCAACCAATGAGAGCCCCATGCTGAAGTAAAAGTAAGATCCTTTTAAAGCTCAAATACCCTCTCCAAGCAGTCAGAGTGTGTTAGCTTCTTATCAAGACAAAAATAAATGGTAGTATCATCAGCAAACAATGCTATCTTAGATGTCAAGATTTCTAGGAGATTGTTAATGTAAATTAAGAAAAGTTTAGGGCCAAGAATAGAACCTTGAGGAACCCCTGAAATTACAATATATGAAAAAGAATGCTGTCTATCGAGGACAGCTTTTACATTATGATTTATAAGGAAGGATTGAATAATCTTAAAGATGTTACCTGATACACCATAAGAAGAAAGCTTATAGAGACCAGCATGCCAAACTCTATCAAAAGCTTTAGGAATGTTGAGAGTAATTGCCTTAACTTTTCCACATCTATTTAATGCATAAATCAGCAGTTAAACGAGAAGATCGAAATCCATATTGACGATCAGAAAGAAAGTTATTTGATTCAGACCACAAGTCCATAGAAGTCCAAAGAAGGCTATAGAAGAGTCTAAACAGGAAATCACATTAGTAGAATGTGACTTGTGGAATCAGGAGATGATATTTATGAGAAGTTCTTAGCAAATAACTCAGCTTTGTCTTTTAATCTGAGCGATACAAGAGAGGAAGAATCACAGATTTGCCCTTATTATAGACACTGTTAAAGATTCTCCAGAAGCATTACTCATGAAGAAGAATGAGAATACTTCTAGAGAGATCAAACCTTGATCAGATGCACCAAAGGATGAATGTAAAGTTAAACTAAATATTTTAAATTATTTAGGTTATATTAATTTATATAGAATTATAATACATATTGATACCAAGCTTATGTAATTTGAGTGATCAAAGTTAACGATGGGCATCTTGACAAAGAATATAGTATATATTCTTATAGAATAATATATAAATAATATTGTAGAATATATAGAATATGTCAAGAATATAATCTATATATTAACATAACAATTTTTGTTTTTGTATGACATCTACACAATTTTGAATCTATGAATAAAAACCCACTTCAGGCCTTGTTATGAATAAAAATTGGTTATAGTTCCATATTTATTGTCATAAACTTTTTTGAACTATCAGAATTTACTAAATTTCCACAAAACTAGTTAAGTTGAATAATAAACTCTAAAGAATGTAGAAATGTTATTATGTAATAATATTTTTGAATGTTTACTTAGATTCCGGTTTTTGAAAAATATAAAAATATTTGTTTATTTTTCTCGACATTTGACACAATCATATTTTTAACTATATGAATAAAAAAGCTTTTTGTTTTATTTTGTGAATAGGTAATAACAGAATAAAGCATTTGTTTTTTATTTTTAAAAAGTCAGTGAGTAATAAAGTTTAAATATTGTAACAAAAAAATTTTTTTAAATGTGTTAAAACACTTTATTTAAACAACTTGAATGTACATTTTGTACATATTTTTTACAAAGAATTTTTTTTTCTTGCGAAATAAATAAAAAGTTGGTATAAAGCCCTTATAGATTTAAAGGATAAACAATTTCTGTGAAAAAGTAAAATTTGCTTATTGAACAATATATAATAGCATTCGCTTTAAAAGTCAATCATATGGGCTGGTTTATTTTAAGTGTACATGCCTTTAATGAAATCGTTTGTCAAGTGATAAATCTTGATATATAAACTAAATTTTTAAAAGTCCAGCTAGTTAAAAGTAAAGTTTTTTAAAGCAATGTTTTATCTCTTGTTGTTTTATTTCTAATACCTGAAGAAATGTAACTTATAACGTTAAACAAAAAAAATTAAGCAATCAAATCATTCCATTGCAACAGAAAGATTTTAATTTAACTTATAATTTAAAGTAACTTAAAAAAATAATCTTTTGAGAGATTTTTATAGACAGAAAAATAATTTCAAATGTTAAATTTGTCATAAAAATACATGCCTGCAAAAAAAAAAAAAATTAAATATTTAATTTACTCAAAATTAGTTTATTTTAAATGATCAATTATAATTATTTTTTTATTTTAAAAAATTTAAAAAAGATTAAAAATTATTCATTACTTAACGAATTTGTTATTGTATTTAAATTGTTAAAGCATTAAAACAGCTGTTTAAATTTTTAAGAAAAAAAGTTATAATCGAGATCACATCGCATTAAATCAGTAACATCGCACGCTATTCCTGTCCAGGCCAGGTTAAATTTTATTTTAGCGCCACTTTTGATATTTTAAATTTTGTTTGCCTTGTTATAATGATTGATTTTATCAAAAAAATGAAAAAAAAAAAAATATTTAAACTTTAAACAACATTTTATGAAAAGTTTATTTTTTTACAATTAAAAAAAAACTTTTTTTATAGATATAACTCTATTATTAATTTTTTTGCTTGAATTTACGTTTGAAGCAATATAACTTTTGCAATGTTCGTTTATATTTATAAGTTTTATTTTGCAAAAAATAATAGTTTTGAAAAATAATATTTTATAATAGTTACATCAGTTTTATATAATTAACAAATTGTTCGATATCAAAAATTTGAAAATAGAAATTTCCTTATAATTTTAAAAGAATTTTGATTTAAAAAGTAGTTTAGCTTTAAAATAATAAGATTTTTTTTTTTCTCGTTTTTCTTACTTGTTTTCTATTTTTTACAAAAAATTAAATTCCTTGTAAACATGTTATAACTTATAACACTGCATTAAAAATATTCATAAAAGTGTATGTGTAATTCTTAAAAATTTTAACTTTTTTGTCTTAGGCCAAGTGAAATTGCAACGATATATATTTTTAAATAAGTGTTACTTGAAAACCTAAACCTTTGTTTATAAGGTAAGCCTTTTTATTAGGTAGTCTCCTTGATTGTAGCGGCTTTCTCAGCCTTGGTTAAACTCAACCTGTTAAAATATTTGAATAGACTTTGCGATAATATATTTTCAAATAATGATTCAAATGTTAGTAAATCTGCTCTGATAGCTGGACCATCGTCTCAAGTTGGAACAAGTTCTTTGGCATCTGTTAGTTTTATAAGTTTGCCAAAACTTTGTAAGAAGCAACAGGTGATGTCATCATACACAATATCAGTTCAATATCATTGAAAATTTAGCAATATTTAGAAAAACTAACAGTCTTCAAATTCAACTCAAAAAAAGTGGCATTGTTTTAGATCAAGTATTATAAATTAAAGTTCTTATTACAAAATACATCTTTATAAACCTAAAGGAAAAATAATAATAAAAAGTAGGATTAAATAGTAATAAAAGTATTTTTTTCATAGGTAAAAACCAAATGACTAAAAATACAGGCGAGGCAGAAAATGCCTTCACAATCATTATCCTGATCTTGTACCTTGGTTGAATTTGCTTAAATTAAAGGACTGTTATGGTTTGTTTTTTTTTTTTTTGTTAATTTGCCTCCTCAAGGCTGAGAAGGCCACTACAGACGAGGAGGCTACTTATTTGTGGTTATAACTCTCTCTCAACTCTATAGTTCTGAAACACGAACCTTAACGAACAAGGCTGCTGCGCAGAGAAAGGAATTGAGCGCGGTACTACCAGGGTCGTGGTGGGGATTAAACTCAGAATCTCTCGCTTATAAAGCAAGCATTCTACAACTACACCACTACCGCATTATACTATATTATACTACCGTTTTATACTATGATATTAAGTGATCAAGTTATATCAACGTTGTGCAGTAATTGGTGGCCTATCATTAACCCAAGAAACAAGAAATTAAATTTGTTTTAAAAAATATGTTAAGTTTAAGTTATTAGCACCACAGCTATGACAATTACAAATTAAAAAATGTAACATTTAACTTCAGACCTAAAAGATAAGTTAATGTTAGCAAAGGCATCGATTTGCGTCAATAGAAAAATTCAAATCATGCTATATTTTTTTAAATAAAAAATTTGCATTATGGGCGTTACTAATTTATAATCAAAAACTAATTTAAAAAAAACACCACTTAAGAAATGAAAGGTCATAAGTAATTGGTAAGTCAAAGACAATTGGTAATTATATTTTAATTAAAAGAATTGTATACTTATGATTAATTGTAAGAATTGTTTATTGTGTTAGTTATGCTATTATGGTTTATATTATTGGGGATTATATATTTTATACAAAGTTAAATATGCCTACTTTTTATTATATTCTAATTTTATTTTATTAGGTTTTACCTGAAATAATTATTTTATATATTGCTTCTAGCACTGTAAGACCTCTTACATAGAGGTCCTACAGCAAATAATGTTTAAATGCAGTTCTAAAAGTAAGATTCATCTATTAAGAACTAAAGCTCAACTATTAAGAAATATCTTAAGGCCTAAAAATTAAAGTTACAGTAATCATAAGTTGATTTCTAATATTTACAAATAATGGTCAAAAATGGAAATACTGGCTGACTTATTGCTCTCAATCTGTTTTTATTAGAGTTTCAAAACTTATACTTCAATAGTTTTGTTAATAAATTTTGTTTAATTTTGACAGGAAGAAGAGTTGGATGCTTGTTTTAGAGGATGTCGTTATTTTACCATTAATGATTTATTAGCTTCAAGGTTAACTTTGGACTCACAGTCTGTTTGTAAACAAGGTGAATTACTTTCTTACTATATTATTATTATTATTTTCTTTTTTTTTTTCTTTTTTTTTGTATATAAATTTTAATTTTTCTAATTCCTAGAATATTAAAAACAATAAAATCCTTTTTTTAAAATTCAAGATTATTCTTAAACTTTAAAGATCAACAAAACAGCTTCTAAAGATCAACAACAGCTAAACTAAACAGATTAAAGTAATATCATTATTGCATAATTTTTAGGTCATGTTAGATTCTTTTAATGGGTTTGTCCATTGATCACACAAGCATTGAATGCCTGAGGGTTAAATAAATATACACCGCAATAAAAGAAAACTAGTTTTCTTTTATTGTATATATATATATATATATATATATATATATATATATATATATATATATATATATATATATATATATATATATAACTGATTATTTATTAATCTAGATTGTGAAGAGGCTTACCCAGAAATTAACAAACAATCAGCATGCAAAGTTGGATGCACATCACAATATAACTATTCTGTTAATCAATACCAAGTAAGTTGATTTTTCATTACAAGGTTTTTTATTTTGAAATATGTGTTATTAAATAAAAAATGCTTAAATTTAGACATGTCGATTTAAAATGTCGATTTGAAACATGATTCGAATTGCGAATCAAGAACTGCTTTGATTCGAGATTTGATTCAAAATAAAAACTCCTGATTCGCAGGGCCCTAATCATAACGTTGATGTAGCGCTTAGGTTGAATAAGTTTTTAGCTTAGTTTTGCTTTTATTTCATTTTTTATTTTTTTTTTCAGTTTATAGTTTTTTTTTTAAAGTTAAAGTTTACATTTGTTTATTCAGCACATTTTTTTAACACGCTAACTTAAAAACATGCAAGGAGCTGCGTTTAAGTTATCCAAAAAAAATGTTATATGCATGGTCATATAAAATGTGTGGGCGCATGCGTCTCCTGAGAAGAGTTGATATTTGTGTTATTAAAATTATTTTGAATATTGTTTTTAAACTGATTAATACCACTACTAAAGCAAAACATCTTAGAAAATATGAAGTATATTTCCTAAGATGCTTTTTATAATAAACATTAAAATTATTTAAATTAATAGAATTTATACTATTTTTGTTAAAAATGATATAAAATTCATACAGAATAAAGGTTGTTCAACTATAAACAAATAATAAATTAAATACTCTCAAGTGGATTATAACTATTGGCTGGAATTTACTACAAAAAAATTGTTAGTAACATAACATATAGGATAAGCATTTACTATTAATACAAAAAAAAACTATTTAGTACAAAATTGATGTAGTTATATTTAAAAGTATATAGTCTTACATAATAATAAAAAGTATTTAAAAAAATGCAATATTAACTTTTTGTGTTGTAACTGGCAAAGCATGAAATTACGCAATGGGCTAAATCACTATCTACAAAATCATATCTGGAACCTTTTTGTATCTTGTGTTTGCCACACACCACCATGGCCTACTTAAATACACGGCCGGACTTGTTGCTTACAAGTCCAATAATTAGTAGGCCAGTTTTTATTCAAGATTTTTTGTTTGCTTAAAGTGTCTCAAAAGAATTTCAACTACTGTTATCAGAATAAAAACGAACTTTGATTTTATCTTTTTACATTATTTATTTGTCTTATAAAATGCCTAAAAAGTGCTGTGTAGTTGCTTGCAGAAGCGGTTACAAAAAAAAAAAATACTGTAAAGGGTTTTATAACTAAAACAGTATTTATTTTTTCCTCAGACATAGATATATGTTACCAGTGGATCAAGTTTATAAACAAAATTAACTGGAAACCGTCTCAATTCTCTGGAATATTTATTGATCATTTCGAAGAAAAATTCATTAAAAGAGCCAAACAAAATACACTAGACTTTACAAAGAATCTTATTCCAACAATTCATACAATAAAGATTGTTTTTTAAAGCCATCTTTACTTCCTACACCTATAACTTTAAGTAAGGCTCCTACAAAAAGGAATTAATCTCATTCATTGCTAGATGAAACAATGGTTTTCAACAAACTAGATAAGATTTGTTCAATCAATGACTTAACAGAACAAGTTTGTCCTCAAAATTTTTTATTTAGGAAAAATATGGTGGCGTTTACTTATTATCGTGTTATCATTGAATAAATAACATCATCAACTAACATCGATTGTTATCAACATTAATGTTGATAACAATCTGCATGTAAAACTGTACTATAAAAGAAATTTGATAACTTTTCCCCAGTAGCTTCGTCAAAACAATAAATGTACACTGGCAATTCTGAGCATGTTAGAAAATTTAGTTTCTTATATGAGAAATCGAGTTCAAGAAAAAGAAATAAATATTTTAAGCGAACTTTAAAGTTTTATGTATTATGAATCACATGGCAGAGAGTTATATAGTAATGAACTTATTCGACTTGCTTTGGTTCTACGAGATAACTCTAGACAAGCCTATAACTTGCTATTTTCATATAAATGCATTAACTCAAATGGAACCAGTTAAAGCATTAAAATACTTATTAAAAAAAGAATATAAAAGCTTATATAAGCTTATAAAAGCTCAGTTTTATATTTGATGAAATGTACTTACAAAAAAGTGTTCCATATCATGGTGGTAAATTTGTTGGAAAAGATGAGAACGGAGAGTTTTGTTCAGGAGTTGTAGTTTTTATGATAGTTGGTATTAAACGTTCTATACCTTTTGTTGTTAAAGCATGTTCTGAACCAAGTATTTCTGGAAATCAATTGATGAATCAAATTTAAGAGTGTCTAACAAATCTTTTTGATGCTAATTTTAAAATTTCTGCTATCATCACAGACAACCATTCAACTAATACACTTGCATTTAAAAAACTCAAAAAAAAGTATAATTCTACTGAAAAAAAATTTTTTATTATGGACAAAATAAAATTTATACATTATTTGATGTTGTACATATTTTTAAAAACATCAGAAATAATTTATTACATTCAAAGAAGTTTATTTTTCCAAAATTCAATTTTGATGATTCAATTAATGTTGAAGATATTCGTTGGGAGTTATTTCACAAAGATAATGAAAAAGATAACTTACTGCCTGCTAATGTAAAGAAAGCTTACAAACTTACTCTAACTTGTTTACATCCAGGAAAAATAAACAAAGTGTTAAACTGGCTTTGCGAATTTTCCATGAGTAAACATATTCTGCCATTAAAAGTTATTTTCCGAAAGAAATAAGTGCTGCTAATTTTCTATATTTAATAAATCTTGGTGGACAATTTCAAATTCAAAGAATATATATAATACTGATAATAAAATGATCAAAAACCTGAATTTTTAAATGCTTTTGCTCAATATGTAAGTGAATGGTATAATACAAATTTACAGGGATGTCACAAATTGTCATTTTCAGCTCAGACATCAAATGCACTAATTGTCACATTAAAAGGAACTGCATCTTTAATCTAAGATTTACTTTCATAAGGATATGATTTCATTTTAACCAGTAGATTTCAAACTAATCCTCTTGAAAAACATTTTAGGAAACTTATGCAGATGAGTGGTGGAAGGTTTTTGGTTAGTTTGTGTTTAAGTTCTGAAAAAATAATCAGCATAAAATCTCTAATTAAAAAAATTCTGGCATTGAATACAGGGTTTAATAATGAAGCACCAGTAAATAATGATGCAAAAGAACTTGAAACAACTTTACTTCTATTACAAAAGGATTTTTTTTTAATTATTTTTATTTTTTTTTCATATTCATCTCCTCAAGGCCAAGAAGACCACTACAGACAAGGAGGCTACTTAATAGTAGTTATAACCCTCTCTCAACTCTATAACTCCAAAATACAAACCTTGACAAACAAGGCCGCTGCGCGGAGAAACAAGTAGATAGAAGAATATAGATAGAAATAGAAGAATATGATTTATGTGAAAGTTCAAACAAAGTTGTTATTCGTGATGCTAGGTATATAACAAAAAAAAATTAAATCCAAATTTAAATGTTCGTGTCAAAATCTTCTTTAAACTAACAAAATATCTTCACCTTATATGGAAATACTATCAAGGGGAGGGTTAACTGAACCTAGTGAAAACATAATAGAATATGTTTGCTTCTTATTTTGCATATTAGACATCATTAAAGAATTGTTATTAACTAAATATTGCAATAAATTGAAAAATTCAGCTCTAGCTGCACTTGAACTGTTTAAAAATAAGATTTGTTTTATGTGTTCTGACCATTTAGAAACAGGAAGACAGTATATTCACACAACTGTTATTAATATATTTTATAATAATGAACAATCAATTCAAAATGGAAAGATTCGAAAAGATGAAGTTGTAACATTTAAAAATCGACACAACAAAATAAAAACTTAATTTATTATCCTTATTTTTGCTATAGATAAACTTTTGTTTGGACTCTGTATATTTAATTTTTGTTTTGATTTGCTTTTCTATAGCTTCATTGTCATCTTTTTCTAAAGCTAATTTATGGTGGCTAAGTTTGGCTTTTGTATTTTTTGTTAAAACTATTTTAATTTTTGATAAGTCATATTTTTCTATAGCTGTATTTTTTTGGCTCATATTTTTTTCTCAATTTATATATAGTTGAAATATATTTGAAATTTGAAATATATTTTTAGATAATATTAGTTTAATAAATAATAATTAAATGGTAAAAACTGGCCTACTATGTTTCGGACTTGTAAGCAACAAGTCCAGTCGTGTATTTAAATAGGCCATGCCACCACGCATTTTTTCTGCTTTTAAATCAATAATTTCACTTACAATCATTTTAATGTTTTTTGTTTGGGACTGAAAGACTTAAAAAATTTATTGCACTAAACTTCATTGAACTTTAAATTTCCAAGATAACGATCTTGGAAATTAAATATAAATTTAAAAAATATTTTATTTTTTTACTTTTGTAGTTGATCATTTTAAATTTGTAATTGCTATATTATCACGCACACAAAAAATTGTAAATGCTTTACACTTCTTAAATGTGTGTGTTTTTTTGTTTTTTTTTTTGAATAAAATAACCATATTTTTACAAAGTGTTTTTAACTTCATGTTAAATATACTTATCTTTTTTATGGGCAGTAAAGTTTAGAATTATTTTTCTTTCAAGTGACTATCAATTATTATTTTTATTTCAAAATAGTTTTTCTTTATTTGAGACTCAGGTTGATCTAGTTTTTAATAACTTTAAAAATATTAGGCATCCATTAAATTTTCCTAAGTCTCAGAATCCCATAAAAGTAATTGTATAAGTATAATTACAATAAACTATTGTATATTTGTAGTTCTTATTTTAGGAAGAATCTGATCTTGATATGCATTTAATGCAATGGCATGTACAAATTTTTCAACCAATGATGTTATTCAGAAAATTTTACTTTAATCCCTCTGTGGACAAATCATCAAAAGACGAAAGCAATGATGATACTAAAAGTTATACCATAGTTTTACAGGTTGCTAAAAATTTTTTAGTCATTTTAGTGTTTGAATTTGCTTTTTTGAAATTTAAGTTTAATTTTAAATATTTTAGTTATCAGACAACTTTGTTGAACCAGGCGATATTACTAATGAAGTAGAGATAAATAAAAATGTATTAAAGGGTAAGTTCATTTTTGAATTTATAATTTCCTTGTTTTATCAAATTGTTTTTTTGCTCTCTTCTAAATTCATTTTATTTTGAATTCTAAAATCTTTATAAGTTTTTCTAATATTATAAGTTAATTTATGATAATTAATGATAATTAAATTAATCCGAGAATTTGATATTATAATCTGAGCAATCTTACGATTGCTGGAAAGAAATCACTAAATAAAAATCCTTCTAACATAAAAGTTTTTAAAAAATGAGAGAGGCTTTTCAAATTTTATTTTTTTTCTTTCTCAGAAGGTTAAATGCTGAATTTGTGCAATTTTAAAATTAATAACCGCAAAGTGATTGTCATAGCAAATCATGTGTCATAGCACATGCTTACATCTTTAATTTTAAACATTTTAATTTTTTTAAAATGCCACCTCGCATACTTGACAAATTTATAGTTTGATTTAAAAAAAAGGCTATAATTAGATTGAAAAAATTATTTTCAAATAAACTTCAAATTTATCTAGTTTTTCATTAAAATTTGATAAATAATGATTATATAGCCAAACATTGGTTTAGGTTATTGTATAATTATTTCTAAGAAACATTCTTATTATATATATTCAGCCCTTGAAATTATATAAAATAAAGTCTGCAAAAAATTGCCGACTTAAAACTGTTTTAAAAACATTAAAATTTAAAAACAGGGTTTAATAAATCAATGAATGGGGAAACATTTAGCTTAAACTTGACAGAAAAACAAAACATCAAATGTCAAGTTTTGCTTCAAATTTTTGAGAAACGAACTCTACATTTTATCATTTTAACATTAATTAACTAAAACATTAAATTTGCTTATTTTATTTTTATTATTGTATTTAGAACAAATGAGATAAATTCTAAATATTTTATTTTAATTATTTTTTTTTACAACTCAAATAAAAGTTTTGTTTTTATAATTTAAATTAAAGGTTCATTTTGTTTGTTTTATTTTAATTATTTTATTTAGAATTTTAAAAAAGTGTTAGCCTTTCCGTTATTTTTTTATTAAACATTTTATTTAGAAGTTAATTAAAAAATTCATTTTTTTATTTTAAATATTTTCTATAGAATTTAATTAAAACGTTTGTTTTTATTTTTAATTTAGAATTTAAATAAAACATTTGTTTTGCCTTTTTTAGTTCATTTAAAATAGTACATAAAATTATGTTTTTAAACTCTGATGTCGGCAAAAAATTGCAGACTTCAGTAAGTTATATATATATATATATATATATATATATATATATATATATATATATATATATATATATATATATATATATATATATATATATACATATTTATATATATATAACTTATTTTTTTTTGTATATATATAACTATGAATGCGTGTTTGGATAACATTTCTGTTGTCATGCTAAAATAGTCTGCTGCTGGGAACTTCAGTATATACATAGACTATCTTATAGCTTGTTGCAGCAAAAAAGTGCTGCTACATGGACTAAGGGGTTGTGTTGGGGGCATCAATCTTTTTTTTCAATATTCTTCATTTTTTCTTTGTTTTAAAAAGAAATGCTGTATTCTATAAAGATAGAAAAAACTAGTAATAATTTGTTATCTATATACACTATAGTAGATTTTAAAATACTTAAAATTTTGTAAAGAATTTAAATATAAGTTATCAAAACTTATTTTGTCATAAGTTGTGTATATATAAATAATAAAGCTACCATTCAAATTCCAAAGATTTTATTCAAATGACTAAATATGGGATATTTACTGATTTATTTAAGATAAAATTGTAGTTTTCAAATTTATTTTTAAAATTTCTTATTATAGGATTATACTAAATGTTATTTGTTTATTTTCAGATGACAAGCCATCAGTAAAAAAATATACAACTAATTTGTATAAGCATGGAAGAAACTGGCTTTATTGTGTAGAAAAGAATACAGGTGTCTCAAGATGGGTTTTATTGTGTTTATTTGTGTCAGCAGCTGCGACATCTGCTTGGATGTGTTTGCAAATTTGCAAATCAGAAGACAATGAAAATTGCAAGGTTTTAACTTAGATTTTATTCTGTATATCTCTTTCAAATTTTAATTTTTCAGGAAATACAAAAAGTGAATCCTGACTCACATTTAACTGTGATTTTTGTTTTAAGGAAGTCTCACATAATGTACTTTCAAAGCATAAAATTTTAATTTCCATGTGTAATAAAATTATTTAAAAAAGTGTCTAAAACTTTACGTTAAATTTATATACAAATAAAGTCTAATAATAATGATAAAACTAATTGGGCGATAGTTACAGGGGTCAGATTTCCAACAAGGCTGCGAGCAACCACTAATTAGTGTTGGAAGTTACTGGAAGAGAAAATATAAAGATTGTAGAGCAAGATTGACAGACGACTTAATAGATCGCAAATTATATGAATCAGGAAAGCAAGATGAAGGAAGCCAATTTCAAAGAACTGATGCTTGAGGAAAACACTTAGAGGAATAAGAGTTTTTGGAGCACTTAGAAACAGCCACAGAAAATGATTGAGACTTAATTGAATGACGAGTAAAACGAGAATTTTAGTAGATGACACAAGAGGTGCTAGCTCTTTAGAGTGCCCATTATAGTATTTGTAGAAATAGAAAGAAAAGCAACATTACGGCGATGTGATAATTGAATTAATCCTAGAAGATGAAGGGTAGATGACTACATTACGTTCATAAATATAGGAAGGTCTAAATTATTGCAATAACGATTGGCTGAAAAAAATTGAGTTTGAATTAAAGTTCTGAATTGAGTCTGAATTAAAGTTCACCAGCCACTGTGAGTCCGATGCTGTAGCAGAAGTGAGATCCTTTTCAAGTTAAAATGCCCCCTCCAAGCAATCATAGAGAGAGTTGGCTTCTTATCATGACAAGAATAAATTGTAGTATCATCAGCAAACAATGCCACCTTAGATGTGAGAATATCCAGAAGATCGTTAGGGGCCAAGCATTGAATCTTGAGGAACCCCTGAGGTTACAGAATAAGAAGAAGAGCACTGTCCATCAAGGACAACTTTTATACTATAATTGCAAATGAAGGATTTAATAATCTTAAAGATGTTTCCAGATACATTGTAAGAAGAAAGCTTATGGAGAAGATCAGCATGCCAAACTTTATCAAGCGCTTTAGAAATGTCAAGAGCGGTGGCATTAATCTCTCCACCTTTATCTAATGCTCGATAAAACCTATCGGTTATTACTGTTAGCAAATCAGTCGTAAAACAAAAAGATCGAAATCCATATTGATGATCAGAAAGTAAGTTATTAGATTCAAGATGATATATTAAGTGTTTGTTAATTAAAGATTCAAAATAACTTGCTTATGATAGAAAGTAGACTTGTTGAATAGTTTTGAAAGGATAGATGACAGCTCCGGAGAACACTTCTGCAAGACTAAAATAAAAAATAATAAAAAATATAAAATAAAGACTACAATGTCCGGGCCACAAGCTGTAGAAGAGTCTAAGCAGGAAATCAATGTCAAGCAATGGATCAACATGTTTGACAGCTATATCAGGTAGAACACAACTAGTGGAATCAAGAGATGATATTGATGAAAAGTTCTTAGCAAATAATTCAGCTTTGTCTTTAGGTGAGATAACTGACCATTACGGGTTTGCCCTTATTATTGATACTATTAACGATTCTCCAGAAATCATAAGAGCCTAATTTTTGTGATGAAATATGAGATTTCATGATCTGAAAAACTTTTTTACAATGGTTCCTAGCAGTAATAAACAGATGTCTGTTTTCTGGAGAATTGTTTTATTGATAGATTGGAAGTAATAGTTTTGATTGGCAATTGAAGCAGCACAATGTGAGGAAAACCATGGAGAAGAGTGAGGCTTGACCTGGAATCGTCAAGAAGGAATAAAGGATTCCATGCCAGCCTGAATCCATGAAGTTATGCAAGAAGCACATTTGTCTACAGGAAGACAAAAGATTTCTATCCAAAGGTCATCACGAAGAAAATCACAGAAAGAGTCCCAGTCAGCTTTAAGGGAGTTGTAAGATGTATGATGATAGGGGGATTCTGATGATAAAGAAGAATGAGATAATAGTTTTAGAGAGATCAAACTGTGATCAAAGGCACCAAAGGTTGAATGTCTAGAAACTGAGTACTGACTAGGATCAGAAACAAACATAAGTTGAGTAGAAGGTAAATGATTTGGGTTGTCTGGTAAGCAAGTTAGAATGTTGACTATTTGAGTTAGGGATTGAGAAAGGCAAAAATTGTGGTCTTTAATGCCTGCAGAGTCACTGACATTAGAGCAAAGCCATTCAGTGTGATGAACATTAAAGTCACTGACAACAGCGATTGATAAAGAGAGAGGGGGCTTGGTCAATATGATCAGAAATAACATCACGAAGAGTGCAGTCTTGAGATGAAGGAGAGCGATATAGAACAAAGAGAAAGATGATAGAGTGAAGTGGTGCTATACGAAAAGACATAAAAGAGTAGTCTGTGGATTCAAACCTAGTTTCCTGGCAAATGGGTGAATTTTTACAAATGTAAATGCCCAGGCCAAGCATGTGATTATTGGAGTCTTTACGAATTAAAGGAAGATAATCATTAACACTAAGATCACAAGATGAGTCAGCTGAACTCAAATTAGTCTCACAAAGAGCAAGTAGGTTTGGATAACTTTGCAAGAGATAAGACTCAACCAGCGTGTAAAATAACGGCTGGTCAACAGTCAATGACCGCCTAAAATGAGTAAAATTGCTATTTTGACCTCCCAAAATAAATTCTTGCTGGTCATGGTTGACCGGTTAAGAGTTTTAAAAACAAGATTTGAATAATATTCAGATTATTATTTGAAAAAAGCATGCACTAAATTATTATATAATCATTAAAATTTTGAAAAAGTGCTATAGTTAGACTTATTGTTTACAATAAGTTCTTAAATTCTTTTTGCTAATGAATATAACATAAGATGGGACATTTAATAATTCCTTTCTTCACTTATTTAAATTACTTTCATTTTATTGGTGGTGAAAAGCATTTTTTCATAAATGATTGAAGTTCTTATTATACTTTATTAATGTATGTAATATATTATTTTATTATATTAATATAATATAATAATATATAATAGTTGCATTTATCTCAAAAAAATTTGTCTTTTAACTTTTTATTTGTTTACTTATAAGTTTTTTAGGCAAACTGAATGAATGAGGAGCTTCAAATTTTAAAATATGCAATAGAGTGTTGGAATCAAAAAGGAACTCAATAGTTCAAGGAATTAATTTTAATGTTAATTTTGAGTACAAAATCTTTGCGCGAATTAATAAAATTATTATTCACTAATTTTATTAACTCTAATTTAATTAAATTAACATTAGCATTTTTTAAAATGATTTTAATGAGCAAAATGTGCAATCATTTTTTTTCTTTTAACGTCATTAACTTTAAATATTGAAGTTCTTAATTAATTATTTTATGAAATTGTGGTATGCAACTAAGAACATTTTCTCTTCTAAAGTAATTTTTTTTTTCATCCAATCTTTTCATTTATTTTCTTGTAGCTTTTCCTAGAGACTGGAATTACCGAAAAACGGTTCCTTCTGTAAATTTCGGTTCCTAATTTGAAAAGAAACTGATAACTTCGGTTCTTTTCGATTCCTTATTTTAGGCAAGAATCGTTATTACGGTAAATTTCGATTCCTTTTTTTAAGAAAGAATCGTTATTACGGTAAATTTTGATTCTCATAAGAACCGATAACTTCGGTTCTTTTCGATTCCTAATTTTAGGCAGTAATCGAAATTACCGTAAATTTTGGTTCTAATTTCGGTTCTTAGCGGGAAATATCGCAAAAAATCGAAAATGCTACAAAGAATCGAAATTGTTACTAAGAATTGAAAAACTTGAATTTTTTTAATTTTTATTTTCAAAAATACAGTTGAAATACAGTTGAAAAATACATTTATTCTAAATCACTATCAGTGAGATCAGTGACACTGTCCTTGCTGCCATTGCGACTACTACTAGCACTGCTATAAGCTACTCTAGTAGAACTATCACTAGCTTCAGTATTAAATAAATCTTTAGATGCATCATATATAGGGTTTTTTTTCATTGGTGATTTAAGTACAAGTTTCCTTTTTTTAGCTCTTTGTAGTAGACTTTGAGACTGTGATTCATTTGGTTTCAAAAAACTTTTCATTTTTTTCTGTTTGGTTGATTGGGTTAGTGTAGATGGAGATGGTTGAGGTTGAGTCTGAGAAGGTGATGGTAGAGGTTGAGTCTGTGTAGTTGATGATAAAGGTTGACCTTGAGAGGTGGATGGTAGAGGTTGATCTTGAGAGGTGGATGGTAGAGGTTGAGACTGATAGTCTGGTTCACCAGGGCATTTTTTGTCCCAGGACCTTATTTTTGATTTGACTAGTGGAAAGTTTTCTTTTATGAACATTATTTTTTGAAGGGTCTCTGGCTTCATATTGTGTCTTTTATCACTAATAATATTTCCTCCTAATGAAAATAGCCTTTCTGAAGAGCATGAAGTCACTGGTGGACACAAGTACTTCCTTGCCATAGCAGCTAGTAATGGCAGTTCCTTTTGATTGACCTTCCACCATTCCAAAACCTTCACATCCTTAGCTGGCTTTTGCATAGACAAGTACCTCTTAAATTCCATCTAAAAAAAAAATTTGAATTTGAATTTACCGCAAAAATCTAAAATGTGTATAAGCATCGAAAATGTGTATAGGAATCGATATTTATAAGTATCGGAAATATTTATAAGAATCGAAATTATTATTAATAAAAATGAATATCTACCTTCAGAGGAGGCTCTGATGGTCCTGCCAAAGTTGGTGCATCATTTCCATCATTTTCCATGGCCATTCTCTCAAAATCATCCATATCTTCATCTAAGTTTGGCATTGCAGAAGGTAATGAAGCCTCATAAGCCTCATTGTATTCTCTGGTAGTTGGATGATTATCTACCAGTTGGTCTATTATTCCATCTAAATGATCTTTGTTGCCCTTGATTAATGTGATAGAATAACCTC